TGGGAAGAATCTTGTCAGGATGAGATGATTGAGCCATCGATGAGATTCAAAGCACATGGAACATGACAGGCAACTAAGCATGTGCGAGAATATGGCCAGAATAGGAGTTTTAATGTTCGGAAACACAGTGAATGTGAAAGAGTGTCACCTTGTTGATTGATGTATGAGACAACAGGTGAATTGTCAGAATGGATCAAGAGCAATTTGCCTCATACTAAAAGTAGGAAACAAACCAAAGCCAAACATACTGCAAGAAGCTCCAAGATGTTTATGTTCATTGCCGTCTCAACGAAAGACCAACAATCTGAGAATTCTAGAGAATCCACACTTGCTCCCTAACCCATAAAAGCATCTGTAAACAGATGCAGCTCGGGCCATAGAAATGGGAGGAAGGAGTTAAAAAACAAAATAAAAACTCCCAGGTGGAAGAGGTATTGTTCAAGGAGAAAGAAGGACTTCTACAACAAGCTGAGCCACCCCACACAAGGTGCATCATGAGTAATCAGCAGTGTTTATGAGGTATATGTTGGGTTGGAGCTGAGAACAGCTAGCTGTCTTTGTAAAAATGGGTCCATAGACCTATTGTAAATGCTCACAAAAGTGTGCGGCAGGACATATGGAAAAAAAATGAGGAAAGTCAATGCAACTGTTGAGACTAAACAGATATATAACTGGACACCTGTTTCTGGCCTTCTGGGGAAGTACCAAGAACCTAGAATAAACTCCTGGAGAAATATGATTGACAGGTTCAATAGCATCTTAGAGAAGACATTTCTGAACCACCTCAGATAGATATTGGCTACAAAAAAAGATTCTGAGGAGGTGGGGAGGAAATAGAAATGGGGATAATGGAAGTGGGAGAGTACTGAAAGGGATAACTCTTCTGACCAGACATCCCCAAACACACTGTGATCTGAGGGGAAAGCGTACTGCAGGAGCACACCCTATCAATGTGTTCCCATTTTGCCTGAATCCACAAAATAGTTGCCATTACCAATGACAGCATGGGATTTAGCAATAGGCGAGAAAAACCCCAAACAAACAGGAGAAGTGTTGTTGAGCAGTCACCACCATTGAATGCAATAAACTGGTAAAATCTCCAAAATAAACTAAATAAAAAGATACAACAGGGGAAAGGGCCAAAAGTAGGAGGGAAGGAGAGGAATGATATGAAACAGGGGATACAAATAAAAAAGGAACATACCTGTGATACCATATCCAGGAAGGCTGAGGACAAAAATTATCCAAATCATCTTAATCTTGCCCAGCTTTAGCAGACAAAGAAATGACAGAACTGAGTTTTGAAGAAAACAGCTGGCCACATGATAGACTCCAACTCCCATCGAAAAACCTCAACCTCCTCATTCGAAAATGTAAGGCCTGTAGCCTGAGATGCAGCAGGTTAAAGTGCTGTAATATTTACCACTGCAGATGTATCAGTAGTAATATGGAAATCAGAATTCATGTTTAACTGGAGTGAAGTTTGAAAGGAATAAACTACACTTGGTATATTACTGCAGAAATAAAGCAAAATACAATGAAGTTGTTTAATAAACATTGCAAAAAACAATAAACTTAAATCAAAGTAAAAACATGATCAAAAAGTTTAACACATCTTAACACTACAGTGTTAAATCAAGAGTGAAGATAGGGTTAACCTGTGTAGAGGGGAGCCAACTGCATCATGCTCCTAGTCGTGAAGGGTTGCCACATGCTTATTTGCATGCAAAGACAGGGCAGAATCACATTAAATATGGAGTAGGTTGGAGCTTCAAGGCTAGTGGCGAGTGAAAAAATTTGTGCATACAGAGGACAGCACTGAACTATTATGTGAGAAGATGAAAGGTATGGTATCAAAATATCTCTTGCCTTCCAAAAGTCTGTACCCAAGAAACTTTTCATTCAATACAAAAACTCATCAGTTGGGCTAAGACAATGAAACACAAAAGACTATTAACAAATGCAGTCTAATGGTTTAAAAGTTATGGTTTACATGCCAAAAGCTGGTGAACTAGTGAAAATATAATGTATAATTTGTTTATTTGGTTTATAAGAACATTTTTTTTATTTTCAGGCCTTTGTAGCTTAATAGGACTCCCATACATGTTTTTAATAAACACAATTTTCATTTTGCTTACATAAGTGTAAATATGCATGTTTTGAACTCAAAATAACATAAAATAACTTGTTACATTCAAATATGCTCTAATCTACATTAACTTTTCTATTGAATGCCTTCTGATCATGGATACTGCTCTGAAAAAGCGACAATCACCTTGGCAGAGGTCCCACATTTGGAGAGAAACATCTGCATGACCAAACAAAGCATCAAGAAAATTTATATCTTATACCAATCTAAAATTAACATAAATATCATGGCCTCCAATAAAATTGCATAACAAAGTAACTTCAAAAGCCACATTTCAAAAACCAGCAATGACTTGAATGTTAAATCATGAAGAATTAGCTAATTTCACAAAATTAGGGGAGTGTTAGTGACTGTAATTCTTTTATACTAATTTATAATGTCTACATCACGGTCCTCTTAAAATATGGTAACATAAAAACAGGTCAGGTGACATATACAAGAAGTTATAAAGTCAGCAAAACTGAGCAATAAGAATGGCAGACTGCCTCCCATTCTTTACTCCATTTAGACACTTAAAAATATTTAATTACATACTCCCTGTTAAGGATATGTACTTTAAAACTGGCTTTCTCTTTTTACAGAAAAGTCTCAAAATGTAACCACCAGACCACTTAATTTTTGCCCCTAGCTGTCATCCCCAGATCTTGGCAAAAATAAATATTACCATACAATTTAATCAACAGTGTCAAGTTCCCCTAAATTACTACAGACAGGTTAACAAGCAATTTGAACACAGTGGTACTTTCTCTCCTTAGTTTATGTCAAGGAAGAGTAACATGCTATCTCTCTCTAACAGTAAAGCAATAAACATAAAACAAATATTACTAATTGTATACTAATTAGTGAATAACAAGACTCTTATTTCACAAACATTAAAACAAATTCCAGCATATTTTTACAAACTGATTTATTTTCTCATTTTAGCTCTTAGCTTGGGGAGAATATTCAGTGCCAAGCCAGTGAATGTGGGGTTTTCTCGAGGGAATTTCCACTTTTTCCCTCCCACAACTAGTTCTTGGGTACTGGATCTACTGATCCCCATCCTCTCTCCAGCAATGGATCCTTCAATCCTATTTTTCTTTCCATGAAGCATGTGATGTACATCTTCAAAATTATAAGAAGGGAGAATGGGAATAATCTAATTTCCAAATATGCTAAACCTTTAATCCAAAACTATCAATAAGAAGACAGTGATGATTAACTTGGGAAAATTAATAAAATCAAATGAATTCAGTATTAAGCTAGGAAAATTAACTTTTCTTGAAAACTTTTTCACAGTTCAAGACTTTGAGTGTATGTTACACTAGACTGAACTAATTAGTTATGCCTACAAATATCCTGATTACTGTTCATGTGAAATAAAAACAATTATTTCAACCATGTGTAGCTGTGTCATTAACTGAAATAAAAAAAAACAACATCTATACCCTTGATAAAGAAGGGACTTGAGAGAATAAGGTGAGATTGATATCGGTAACTTCAAGTGGTGTTTAATGAGATAGAACATTTAACACTTTAGAAGGCTAAGTAATATTACAACAAAGTTCCTGTTGGTGTCAGTTAGACCAAAAACATGGGCTTAACCAAAGGCTCACTTGGCACGTTTACTGGCATGGACTTAATAGGTCAAATGGCATGCACAGTGCATGGAAAATGCCACATTACCACTGGCACTAATAAAAAACAGTGTCAAGTTAGCCTTAGTCAGTTAAGTCAAGTCAGCAGTACAGTGAAAGTGCAGCTCAGTTCAAGACTCCACAGCATAGGATAACTCAGCTCATCTCAGACCTAGAATGTTGATAACAAATAACCCCCTACAAACAGTAAGTGTCTGCTTAAAATGGTAAAAAGAAATAAATGTAGAACAATTTGCTAGAACATAAAATAAATGAATTATTGATGAAATGATTAAAGAAATGACCGATATAATTTTTTGTCAAACATCTACTGACTAATAAATATTTTGTCCTTATAATGCAAGCATATACTTCTTCATTCTGAGCCCTAACTGCAAATTTTCCTAAGAGCTGGACAAATTTGAGTCACGACTCACTTCATTATAAATTAATAGACACAATGTAGTGAGAAATGATCCTCATCCCTGTCTTGCATATTAAGCCACGTGACAAGCCTTTTCTCACTAACTGGCTGTAAAATAAAAAGTTACTCAATACCCTTTGTTTATATATTCTCACTTTATAATTACTAATGTACACCATACAAATCAAAACTTAAACTAATACAGTGTTAAATAAATTTTCATTTACATGCTGACACTCATACTGAATTACTTTTTGTTAGCAAGTTATCATGCACGTATTGTACTAAATGTATATAATTATAATGTTAATATTTATTTATTTATCCTTCTCAGATACTTTTAAGTTTAAGATGAGGCAAGTCTCTTTAGTCAGTTTTTTTTTTTTATTATTATGTACAAAGCAAGTATAGCCATCCTCGTCGTGTACGTTTTCTTTCTTATCCTTATTTCAGTTGGCAGAACTGGATATTCAAAAGGCCTAATGTTCCGTGGTGTAATAAGTTGATTGGTAGCATGTGGGTGGTAGTAGAAGGTTTAACTACTTTATGTAACTGTGAGAGAAAGATCATAAAATATCATCTTACCTATATTTGTGTTGGATAACTTTGCTGCAAGTTCTTCTTTTGAGTTCATCTGCTGGTTTTGCACTCCTTCAGTGCAAGTCTCTTCCATACTTTCTATGTCAAAATTTATGGTGCAATAATTTGAATTTATTTAAAAAAAACTAAATCAATTTCTTTTATAACTGGTGAAGTCTTATACTTTATACTGGTAACATGTAATCACTTTAATAAGTTTTGGTACCCTCACCTGCAAGAGGGTTTATTGAATCCCTACTGTTAGGCGATAGTGATGGTAAAGTGCTCGAGGAATTAAACTGCATCTGGTTACGTCGAGCACGAGCACCACTTATTCCTCTTCCAGGATGTGAAATTCTTCTAACCTGCCGTGAGGTTGTGACTTCATCGTGCTTGTGGTTAAGGAATTTACATATATAATATTCAACATAACAGCATTATAAATAATAGGTAATCATGATCTTTACTCACATTGTTATACAGATTTAACTTTATAAACTTAAATATGCTGGACACTTAAATGTGTTGCTTATGTACTTTATACAGAGAAAACATTTAATATGTCTGTTCTGTCATGTTCAGAAAAAAATCAGTTAAATCTAAATGAATTCAAACAAGTCCACAGCTTAAGGTTTTCCTTATTTATGATATTTAGTGAAAGAACAGGTAAAACACTGAGAAAAATTAAAACATTAAAGTACAGTATACAGGATTTAAAACATCCATCACTGAAGTATGGAAAGTACAACTATACAGCAATCAACAGGGGTTATTAACGAGTTTGACTAAATACTGAAGTACAAGATAATGAGCTTTACCAGTTAACATGAAACTATAAACTGCACATACCAATAATAAAATGCAATATAATAACTATTTTCTACTTTCTTACCCTTTAACAACATGATAACTGTATACAAAAAACTAACTTAAAGATTTGAACAAGGTGATAAAATTAATGGTTTTATCTTAATAATTCCCATGTTAAATATGGGTTTACTTTCAATATGCTAGATTACACAAAGTTACAAGAAACCACAGCTATGATTCTTGGCTATGATAGTGTAAAAAAGAGCAATCCTTCTGTCTGATAACATAGTGTAAAAAGAGCAATCCTTCTGTCTGATATCATAGTGTAAAAAAAAGCAATCCTCCTTTCTGATAACATAGTGTAAAAAAGAGCACTCCTTCTGTCTGATAACATAGTGTAAAAAGAGCACTCCTCCTGTCTGATAACATAGTGTAAAAAAGAGCAATCATTCTGTCTGATATCATAGTGTAAAAAACAGCAATCCTTCTTTCTGATAACATAGTGTAAAAAAGAGCAACTCTTCTGTCTGATATCATAGTGTAAAAAAGAGCAATCTTTCTGTCTGATAACAGTGTAATGTATTGAGGGATAGTGATTTGGTTCAATATTGTCAGTCATAGTCTCTGGTAACATACTATACACTATACATTGACATTAGTAGTATATCGATATCACAGCGACAGTGAAAATTAATTTGCATTGCTGTCTATGGTAACATAGCATACAAATATGAATGGATAGATGTTTGACTCAAAATGGTCAGTCATAGCCTCCAGTAACAAAATGTGTGTCTTAAGGGTTATTTGTTTGTATACAAAATATAATCTGATCTCTGCATTAACTGGAATCCAGTCCAAGTTCACAACAAGTATTAATTTAAGCTAGTGCACAAGAAACCATGGCAGAAAGATAAACTAATGAAGCAATAAACAGATGTTTCCAGACTTTTTTGTAAACTTAATACCTTCAGAAACATCCCTTATCCAGTTATTTCAGTAAAGTATAGTGATAATGAATTAAAATCTCTATTTTTCAGAATTTCTACCGCAGGAATTTAGACATTTTAGCAACAAAGTTACAGAAAAAATTTATCTTAATTCTCCAGATAATAATAATATATTTCTTTCTTATGTCAGCCAAAGTTTCACCACTGCATCTTTATACATATTTCAAGCTAACTGTGACATTCACATATGCTTACATTACATTTACATTAAATTACTTATAATGATTTACAACAAGCTAAAGTTTTTACATCTAGATACAAAATAATCATAGGTGGTTATTACACAAAATGAAGCTTTGTTAACAACTACAAATGTGTAAGGATCAATTCGTAAAAGATATCAAATCCCGAGGACTGCGGTGTTCTAAAGTTAGATGTGCAGCAAAATCATTAGTGACATGATTGGGTTCTCCACTAGGTGATGCTGCACATATTGGACACACCTGAAAAAGACATATTAAATTGTACTTCGACCCTGAATTAATACTAAAACCAAGAGATACCACATGGTACTTTAATTCTGAATTAATACTAAAACCAAGAAATACTACATGGTACTTTAATTCTGAATTAATACTAAAACCAAGAGATACCACATGGTACTTTAATTCTGAATTAATACTAAAACCAAGAGATACTACATGGTACTTTAATTCTGAATCAATGCTAAAACTAAGAGATACCACATGGTACTTTAATTCTGAATTAATACTAAAACCAAGAGATACCACATGGTACTTTAATTCTGAATTAATACTAAACAGAAGAGATAAAGTGGATATCCTTGAAAGCTGTGATGAATTCAGTAATGATGAAATAATAAAAAACATGGAAAGAGTGCACCACTAGTAATCTCAGAGCTTATGCATGTTTCAATGATAAGCAAATTTTGTAAACAGAATTTCAAAATCAAACATAAAGCCATGTTCAAATTTGATGACGAGGAACCCACTTTGAGACTAATAATGGTTGGAGACAGCTTGAATGGGTAATGAAGAAAAACTTTAATACAAGTTTAACATAACAGCAAATGTACAACGTTTCAACAAGGTTTTGTCATCATCAGTTTTTCTTCATTACCCATTCAAGCCATCTCCAGCTATTATTATAAAGCCATGTTGTTGTTTTTAAACTAAATATTTAACATATAAAGGAAACTTATCATACAGTGCCTTGCAAAAGTATTCACCCCTACAAATAATGTCACATTTTGATGAAATACAAATAATGTAAACAATTTTTTTAATGAACTTGTTTTTATTCAAAACTCTAATAATCAAACTTAACACTGTTATGGGTGAAGGAGGTTGAATTTCAGCAAAACCTGCAAAAAATTTTTTTTATAAATTGAAATTTGCTGATTGCATAAGTATTCAGTCCCCTAAATTAGTATGTGGTGGAAGCTCCTTTGGCAGCAATTACTGCCATGAGTCTTTTTGGATAGGTACCTACCAGTTTTGCACAATTGAATGATGCAATTTTTGCCCCCTTCTTCTTGGCTAAATTGCTTCAACACTGAAAAGTTCGTTGGGAATCATTGACGGACTGCAACCTTCAAGTATCGCCATAAATTTTCCATTGGATTCAAGTCAGAACTTTGACTCGGCCATTCCAAGACATTCACTTTCTTCTTCTGAAACCACTCCAGTGTGACTTTGGCCTTGTGCTTTGGGTCACTGTCTTGCTGAAATGTGAATTTTCAACCCAGTTTTAGATTCTTGGCTGACTCAATTAGGTTTTCCTCTAGTATTCACCTGTATTTTGCACCATCCATCTTCCCTTCAATCCTGACAAGCTGCCCAGTCCCTGCTGATCAGAAGCATCCACATAACATGATACTGCCATCACCATACTTATCAGCTGGAATGGTGCTGATTGGGTGATGTGTTGTGTTTCCACCAGACATAACGCTTTGGATTTAGACCAAAAAAAAAGCCAAATTTTTGTCTCGCCTGACAACAAAACCTTCTGCCACATGTCTGTAGTATCATTCACATGTTTTGTTGCAAACTCCATACATGATTTAAGATGATTCCTTTTCAGTAATGGCTTCTTTCTTGCCACTCATCCATATGGGCCAGCTTTGTGTACGGACCGGGATATTGTCAATGTACGGACACTGACTGCCATCTCAGACATGAAACTTTGCAAATTTTTGAAGTCACTGTTGGCTTCACAGTGGCATCCCTAACAAGTTTCCTGCGTGCCTGGCTGTTTAGTATGGAAGGGTGGTTTGATCTGGGTAGTATGACGCACATTCCACTCCTTAATGATGGACTTCACCATACGCAAAAGAGATAATCAGAGACTTTGGAATTTTCTTGTAACCTTCTCATGATCTGTGCTTCTCTACCACTTTATCCCCGACTTGTTTGGAAAGCTCCTTGGTCTTCATGGTTGGTTTGTTGTATCACTATGGCTTGAATACTTGAAAAATAAAACACTTTGATAACAAACACACACAGACCATTACACTAATTTTGTGACCTTTCAAACTAATCTTTTGCACCTAAACTGATTTAGGGTTGATGTAGAAAAGGGGTTGAATACTTATGCAATTAAGAATATTCTAATTTTCTTTGAAAATCTAACTTACTTATCAATATCAGTGTTTTCTTAGCTTTCTCAATTTTGAGTAGATTGTGTAGATTCTAAATATAAAGTCCTATTTGAAAGTTTCATGATTGCAAACTCAGGCAGCAACAAAATGTGGAAACTTTGCAGAGAGTACATACTTTTGCAAGGCAAAGTATATTGAATATACGTCACAGTATGCCCACAAAAAGTTTAATTTTTCTTCAAATACAAATGACCTCAGGCCTCATATCTAAAATAATGGGCAAAACATTGCAATAAGCATAAAGTTTAAATTATGAGAAATTAGACACATTGTGTAGAAAAGAGATCTAGTTTGAAACCAATGTGTGATGCAGCAGAACTCAAGAGAATTTTTTAAATCTGAAAGAAATACAAGAAATTATGTTTCAAACACTACTTCATGGAATGACATAGCCATTGTTGTTACATCATAGTAGCTAACACAAGTAGATATGTTAACATAACTTTCTTATCCATGATATTAAGATTGAAAGAAAATAATTTTGCACTATTCAATCCAAATAACTTAAACGATCATTATTCACAACTTAAGTTATAAACCAGGTACATGTTAAAATTTTCCAACACTGAAAATGTATTTCTGATAGATACTTGTTTATTTTGAATTTTGCGCAAAGCTACACGAGGGCTATCTGTGCTAGCTGTCCCTAATTTAGCAGTGTAAGACTAGAGGGAAGGCAGCTATTCATCACCACCCACCGCTAACTCTTGGGCTACTCTTTTACCAATGAATAGTGGGATTAACCATCACATTATAATGTCCCCACGGCTGAAAGGGTGAGCATGTCTGGTGGGACAGGGATTCAAACCTGCAACTCTCAGATTAAGAGTCGAGCACCCTAACCACCCGGCCATGCCGAGCCTGATAGATACTTACCTCACATATAGCTTTCCTGATTCAGTGCTGCCCTTGATATGCTCAATTTTTACTCACCACTAGTCTTGAAACTCCCACCTAAATCACGTAATATTGCTGTTTTGTTGCATGCAAATAAGTATGTGACAACCCTCCACCAATAGGGGTGCAACATACCCTCCTAGTGCAACTGACACCCTCTATCCTAATTATTCAATTATCACTTCAAGATTAGGCATGAAAATGTTAACTTCCAATACAATACCTTACTTACAGCTGGAATCCCATGTTGAAATGATGGAGGGACTGGTACAAAAGTTACCTAGATGAGCCCTCTTGAGGAAATGCCCAAAGGAAACCCATGGAGTGCAACACCCTATACCAGGGGTTGTTAACCCTTCAAAGAAGAAGAGCTGAAATATGCCCTAATGATCTAACATTAAAAGAATAAAAATAAAAAGTTCGCCAGTGGGACTGCGGTAAGTCTTTGGATTTACAACACAAAATGTTGAGATTAAATTTTAACATCTATTTTGCCTCAAAGATTCTAAATTGTTCTTCACGGTAAGAGTAAAACCCGAGAACCACACAAATCTGATCCTTGTCTTATACTATGGAACAGTATAGGAGTACACTCATGGGGTATATTTTTACACTGTAAAGAGATGTGTTGCTAGGTCAGGCAGAAAACAAGCACAGACCAGAATCTGAATCACAGATGTGGCAGTTGGTGTGGTCTGGCTAGGGTGCATCAGACTGTGCATGGCAGGTCAACTCTAGTCCAAAATCAGGCATCAGCAGGTATTTTGTGTCTGCAGGAGAGTCCCTACCACCTTCACTTCAATCCAAGTAAAGTAGAAGGGAAAAGAACATCCATTATGCAAACTGAGAGAATGCTCATGTTGACTAATTCTACCCCTATCCAACACCAGGCCACCCAAGAACCTGACATTTAGGTAGCAGTTGGTTTAATGAAAGCCAGCTGTACATGGTGGGTCAACTCAAGTCCAAAACCAAGTGGCATCGAGTACTTTTTATCTGATCCATGGTAAGAGATGGGTCCCTACCATCTTCATGAGAGAGGGCTTATATTGGTTTGTCTTGCACTTAAGCAACACCAGACCTCCTAGGAACCCAATATGTGGGCAATGGTAGGATGGGGGAAAGCCAACCAGAGGGGTAAACAGTATGTGGTGGGTCAACTCCAGTCCAAAACCAAGCAGCATTTTTTTCATCCGGTCTGCAGTACGAGGGTGATTTTTATCATCTATGTCAACAGAACACCACCACCCAACTCTCTACTGAGTAAAGTTGGTCACACTCAGGTGGTTTACCACCCCAGTGGCTAGAAACTAGTAAGAGGGTAGGACTCCTGTGTTCCACTTGCAGAAAAAAAGGGGTGAAAGCACCTTGGGGAGCCGGGAAAAGCTAAACACTGTAAGACAGTGCAATGGGTGACCAGGAAAACCCTATTTTTAAAAACAGGCCAGCACCAGTGTATTCAACCATGGAGAATGGGCAGCTATCCCTTTCTTGCTTTACTTATGAAAGTCCATGAGTGAGTACAGTTTGTAGAGGGCCTTGTTTAAGGATTTATGCATTATGAGACCTCTAGTGGTCTTGTGAAACACCCAATCTATATCAGGCCTTGAAGGCCCTACCCTGCACACATTTACGATAAATATATCCTCACAGGAAAAACTTGCCACTGAGTGGGATCCAATGAGGTATGAGAAGGGCCTTGGAGAGGTAAGACAAAAAGAAAAAGAACTTACCCAGTCAAAGCTGAAGAAATGGAAAGATGGTGAATAGTGTGCAATGAAAATATGAGGGGTCATCCACAAGCCAGCCTCAACATAAAATGGAAGTGAGCAGCTAGGAAGAAAGTAAGGTGTCAGATTTGATGAGATGTCACCTGGAAGTGTTAACGAGCATCCTCATCCAACAAAGAATATCCTAAACAGATGAGCTGACATAGCCAAACAGAAAGGGTAATGGGAGAAATATCGTGGGTGGAAGAGGGATTCCAAGGAATGAAGAGACGGGAATGTGAATCATGAAAAGGAACAGTGTGGGTTAAATAACAACAGACTTCATGGGCAGGACAGAGTAGGCAATGAGAATCCGAGTGGGAATAAAGGTGAGAAATAGATGGGGGAGATATAAGAGTGAATGAGTTGTCCTCCTCACATGCTGCAGACATTTTAGGAAGAAAAGCACAATCAAGATAGAGAAGAATATAGAAATGATGGAAAAGAATGTGGGAATAATCAATGGCATCAACTGAACATCAACAACCACAGGTGAAAAGGTGGAGGGAAAATATTTTAAATGAAAATGGTACAAGCAGGAGGCCATCAGTTCAAAAGGAGGAAGGGTAAGGGCATAAAGGACAACAGTCAAGACCAAATTGGGAAAGGTAGAAGGATGGGAAGGATGAAAGTGTTAAAATGAATGGAATAGCAATACGAGTACCAGGGAGAAGAAAACATCACAGTAATGGGAAACTGGAAAGTAGTATACAGAGCTGCCAGGTAACCAGTGGTAGTTGATACCAATAAACTTTGAACAAAGAGCTATGTTAAGAATTCCAAAAGATGGGTAACAAAGGAAAAGAAGGGGAAAAAGAATGGCACAGTGACCAACTGCAAAAATATGCTATTGTTGTTGATAGACAAGGATGGAAGGTCAAATAGAATGAGAAAGTAGGAAGACTACACATTAAGAGATTGTGGAATCTTGCAAGGAACTGGACAAAAGTCACTCATGATATTGGAGTGATGACACAAGTGGATGAGAAGGAGAGGAAAGAGGTTGAAGAAGAAGGTAACAGAAGAGAGGTAGAGGAAGAGGCATGAAAGATCAGAGAAAGTTTAACAGAGGAAATCACAGCTGAGCTGGCCAATATGGATCTACCAGAAGGACCTGACAAGAAGTGTCCATAATGAGAGTAAGCATGGAGAAAGAGGTTGGTGCAGTACTGACTGAACACACCCACCACTAGAGCTGATGGATGCAGAACAGGAGACCAGAAAAAGGGGAAGTTTGATGTTGTGGTAAGTGGCAAATTCATATACATAAGAGGAGTGCCCAGACAAGAACCACTTGAAAACCTGAGGATTATGGAACCACTCCATAAGCAATATCCTGTTGTGTCTTGATAGATGATTTGCAATAAGATTCAGGGCACATGGAACATGACAGGACAACAGTCATACTTGTAGGGAATGGGTCCATAAGAGAAGATCAAAGGTGTTGAAACAGAGAGGGCGAGACTGAGAACCCTTCTGGTGATTGAAATAGGAACAATTGGAGAGTTGTCCATACTCCATTTATTATCAAAGTTCCAAGAGATCATCTGGGAACCATCAAACCAAAATACACCCCCATCATAGAAGTATATATACAAAACTGGAGATCTGGATGAGTAACACATTCTGTGGTAGTGGTTTTGTTGAGCAAACAGATGAAGTCAGTGATCGAGGAATGAAGAAAATGAATGAAGGATGACAAAGAATCCTGAGCAAGATTTTATGGATTGGGCAGAGTCCACTGTAAACATAGCAGATAAGCAAAACCCAAGGGGATAATGGATTCCATGGAAGTACAAATCCCAAAAAGAGGGAGAATCACCCATGCAGGGAGAGAAAGAGAGAATATAACAGTGGAAATAAATAACTTTCTATCCCATAAATAAAGAGGAGAAAGCTAATCTATGCTGAGAAAAGAATTAAAACACATCTAAAGGAATGAGATGCTGAGTGGGTGTGAGATGAGATTTCTCCAGTTTGACCAACCAACATGAGCCGTCTCCTGAAGAAGGAGAAAAGAACAGCTGTAATAGGCTTATTGAGGCAGAGCCATATGTAAAAATAAGAATCTGAGACATGCACATTGTTCATCCAAAGCCATGGAGCAAAAGACCACTGCAGGGTGAGAAAAGTCTCCAAGGTAAATCAAAGGAGGTCAATAAATCAACTGAGACTTTAAATATCTATGATGGGATAGAAATTCCCTGTTCCCTTGGAAACAATGAAAAGACAGGAATAAAATCCTGGAGAAGGATGTAAAACCAATTTGACAGCATTTTTAGCCAATAGTTCCACCACTGCCAATGACAGACTCTGGCAAGAAACAAGATTTGTTGAAGGAAGAAAAGTAATGAGAACAGGAAACAGTGGAGAAGAACAGGAAAAAGTTAAGCGTAAGGTTCTCTGACAGAACTCCAAGTACCAAAGAATTAGCCACAAACAGAGGGCAAAGGTCTGCAATCAGAAATAAGAAGACTCTACTGTCCCTGAGCCTAGAGAACAGTCACCACTGATACTGACAGCATTGATGTCTATGAGCAGTGAAAGGACAGATGGGAAGAGAGGAATGTGAAGTGATGACAGGGAAAGAAAAGGAAGCGGGAGGATAATGAAGAACAATAGCATACAACACGTGGCTCAGGAACTCCAGGAAAGGAACCAAATGAACCAGATAAAGAAGAAATTACAATTGTACCTTTCCAGCAACATAGCTTTTAGTCCTAGGGATTGTAGTAATGTTTTAGCAGACAACAAGTTACAAATTCCATAAAGCCAATAAAGAACAGTTTTCATATATTCCAAGCTTTTTTTTCTCAGATGGTCATAGTTTGGAATTTATTGCTTAACACAAGAAACTAGGCTTTATATTAAACTCTGCAAAACCAAAACATTAAGATGCCAAACTTCAACACAGATGAAAACTCAATTTTTTGTAAAAGAAAACATTAAATAAATGAGCAGATAAATGAAAATTATTACAGAAAAAACACATACCACTTCAAATGAGTTTTCTGAGTGTTCTAAGGTGACATGTTCTTGTAATGTACCTTCAGAAAATCCCATCTTTCCACAAAATGGACAGGTAAATGATTGAGACTGATCTACTGACACTGTTTCCCCTCCATAGTATATACCTGAAAATAAAAGAAACTTTTACTGATGGAAAAAAAACTTTAAATTTACCACTATTTTCATTGGTATTGCAGTACTTATAAGGTTTTAAAATGAGTGAATACCAAATGAATGAGTCATTCAACACCAGATGTAAATTGCACAAATAAATTTCAAACCTGGTGCACGTACAAGAATTATACATTTAAACAAGAAACATTAAAAAAGTTTTTTGGCTAACAAAAGAAAAACTCAATTTAAATGATATCCTATATCTACACTCCGTATCATAAATATAGTACATTTTTTTTTATTATTTGTTAAAAATATTGCAAAGTTCAGTCCCTTTACTTGTAATGAGTTATCTATTTCTTCGACTGTAAATACACGATTTACAGACTATGTTTATTGATAACGTAACTCCCAACCAAATCTTAAGTGTCACTTACTTCTTAACTTTCCTCTTGTATGTATGACACAACTCATACCTGGATGACTAAAACACCTGCTAACTCAATAATCAATTAACAATACAGCAACAGATTCACCAACTAACTAACCCAATCACTAACTCTATAATTAACGCCCTATAACTCACTGGCTGACTAAGTAATCAATCAACAACAAAGTAATTGGTTAACTAACAGACTAATTTTCTCTTGTTTTGATATATCATATTTTTTCAAGAAAATCTGAAATGTGACATCAGATGCAGACATTCAGGAAACTTCTAGATATCAAACATCATCATTAGTCATGCATACACACAACTTAAAGACAACAAGGAATCTGTGGGTCCATCTAGGCTGCCCCTTCCACTATACTAAAGTATAAAATAAAACAGTCAAATGCAGCCTTTATCATTCAAATATTTATCGTCTTCTCTTAAATTAACTGCATCATCTACAGAATCTGAAGACAACCAATTCTAAAGGCCAATTACCCTGTTATGCAAATAAAGCTGTCTTAACTGAAGAAGACTCCTACCCTGCCAAAATTTATATTTGTGCCCCCTTGTCTTCCCATTCTCAAGATTAAACATGATGATGCATCAACACTGTCAACTCCCTTTATAATTTTAAACACCTCAATCAAATCCCCTCTAATTCTTCCCTTTTCAAGAGAAAACAAATTTCAGAGATTTTAACCTATTCCATATGATAACATTTCCATCCAAAGTATCATCCTAGTAGTCTTCCCTGAACCCTTTCCAACAATTCAATGTATTTTCTAAGGTAAGGAGCCCAAGACTGAAAGTACTCCAAATGTGGTCTAACCAATGACCTATATGATGACCTTGTACCCTCTTTAGACTTGTATTCAATATTTCACTAGATACAACCTAAACTCCTCTTTGCCCTATCATTAGAAACAGGATTGTTTGTTTGGTGCTTTATGGCGCAAAGTAACGAGGCTATCTGCGCCAATCAACCAGTAAAAACAGTGACAGTAGATTAGAATATAATGTAAAAATAGAGCGAGTTAAAACCAAAATATGTCGATAAAAGATTTATATACAATTAAAAAGATCTATAGTGTGTAAAAAATTAAAAATACAATCTAGTCGGACAGTGTCACCATTACCAATGACACTGTCCAACGTAAGGGTTAAACTCTTAGAAAATGCGTGACTAAAATGGTGCCGTCGCTCATGGTCGTAATGATGGCACGACAGTATAATGTGGGCTATCGTGACTTGACTGTCACAATGGCTACACATTGGTGTGTCATTACCGGATAAAAGAAAACGATGGGTTAAAAAACTGTGGCCAATGAGTAGCCTTGCCAAGACAACTTCCTCCTTCCGATCCTTACGAAAGCAAGACGGCCAAAGACCAACAGAAGGTTTGATCTAGAAAAGCAAGAAGCCGTGCCTTGAAGACAGGACCATAGTCCATGTACGGGACAGACACGGCTATGATGACACCAGAGACTTAGCTGCAGTGTCAGCGAGCTCGTTCCCATGAATACTGACGTGGCCAGGTATCCAGAAAAACTGGATGGAAGCAGAAGATAGAGAAAATTGAGCCAGTCGGTGTTGAATATCAACGAGAACAGGATGAGAACTAAAGTTAAGCGATTCCAGGGCCAGTAGAGAGCTAAGAGAATCAGTGTAGATAGTACAATTACTGTACTGCATAGCTTCTACATGATCCAGGGCAAGAGAAATCGCATACAACTCGGCAGTGAACACAGAAACTGTAGAGGGAATCCTGTGAGCAACTACCGAGCCACAGTACACCATGGCAGAACCTACAGAGCCACACCAATTTCGAACCATATGTGTAAATAGCAAAAGAAAAATGTCTCAAAAGATGTTCAGCAAAAAGAAGATGGAACTTCCAATCAGGAGTATCTGCCTTCCTCAGATGACTCAAGGAAAAGTTACAGGAAGGGGTGGTAATAAGCCATGGTGGAATGGGCAGAACATTGGGGATAACAATGTCATCCAATGCCAGACCCAATTCAGCCAGTAGTGCCCGGATACAAAGGCCAAAGGGAGGAATAGCAGACCGTCTGTTCTGAAAGAGCATTGTCCACTGAGGAAGAAAGATACAATCCCACGTGGGATGCTGTGATAAGGATTGAAGCTTAGTAGCATATTGTAAAGAAAGTTGCAAAT